CAGGAGAAACTGACTGTGGTTTACAGAAGCACTCCTTTCTTTTAAAAGAAATTTAATATTATATTTTCATAGAATTATAAAACTTTAGATCTGGAAGAGACCTTAGAGATATCTAGTTAGCTACTCTCATTTTAAAGAGGAGACAACTTGGTGCCAACAGGTAAAAGGGCTTTGCCAGAGGTCACACTAGGTTAGGAGCAGGGGAAGGGCTCAAACCCAGGTGTCCTGTCCATTGCTTTTTCCAGTACACAAAGCTTTATTTCATCCCAAGAGATCATTGAGTCTGTCCTGCATCTGAATGATATGCTATTTAAACCATTTAGTCATTTGGATCAGGACCAGTGATTTCATTGGTGTCTGAACCCCCTGATGGGGAAAGTCCTTCTACTATGCAGATACATAACTACTCTGGAACTTAAGAGTCTTAAAGAGTTGCCTGGGAAACTGAGAGGTTGAGTAATTTGCTCAGGGTCACAGAGCAGATATGTGTTAGTGGCCAGACTTGAACTCAGGCCATTCTGACTCTGAGGTTGACTTTAACCATTTTGTCAAGCTGCCTTTATTGAAACCACACTAAGATGATACTTGTCAACTGAGGAGGCTAAGTTAAATTCTAGCCTAATAATGCTTGACCCCACTCAAAAACTCTGAGGTCTCCTCTTATTTTTGTGTGGAATCTCAAACATGGCAGGGGATCCTTGGGAGATAGAAACATGAATGCATTTGGTCCTTTTCTTAGTTCTAGAGAAGAATTTTTCTGCAATCTGACTGGGTAATATGCCAAGGTCCTCCTAATACCTAACCTAAAACTCTTCTGCTGCTCTTTTAAGTACATTTTATTTTATTTTATTTTATTTTATTGTTTGCTCTCAGTGGAAACAAAGAGCTATTCACCAGGACCCAAATAATATTCTTGAGAACTCATATCAAGGTTTCTCTAAAACAGAAAAAAAGAAAGGAAGAAGAAAGAAAAGAAAGAAAAGAAGGAAGGAAGAAAAACTCCTGCAGATCAGGTGACCTAGTTTCCTGTCCTGACTCTATCACTAGGCACCTTTGTGATCTTGGGAGATTCACAAACTCTCTGTGACTCAGTACCCTTGTCTGTCCATGGTGGGAATAATATTATCTTTACTTTGTCTTATAGGTTCCTTGTGAAGATGAAATGTGATCATGGAATATTCAGTAAACATTTATTGAATACCTACTAGGTGTAAGGCCTTGTCATAGGTGCAGCAGGTACAGAAAAGTGAAGAAGACACAAACCAAGATTGATTTCTGAATTCTTATTGGAGAAAGGGAATTTATGGTGGAAGCAGGTAGGAGAAAGGTATTTTGTAACATGACCAAGGGAACGAGAGTAATGACTGTATTGATGTCTTGAAACATGAATTCCATTAGAAATACTCAGTGCTCTTGCAGACAGGTGAATTCTAACCAATTTGCTAAAGCATCAGTTTCTCAGTATGGTGCCTAGTGACTATCAGAAAAGAGCACATATATGTGCATTTGTATGCATAAAAACACATATTGTATTACAATATATTACATCCCTTATATAGGAATATGTACTAGACCTGCGGTTTCATTAATATAGGGAATACCTGGGTAAGGAAACTCTGTCTACCAATGGAGGTCAGCCTTTTCTCTACAACCTTTCCTCTTAGAGAATTGCCTAGAACACAGAGAGCTTCAGCAATATGTGCAGTTACTAAGTCAGTATGTCTCAGAAGCAGAACTTAGATCCAGGTCTTCGTGATTGGATCTCTAGCTATTAGGCTACACTGCTTCTCCTTATGTATCATACTATGTCATATCATACTCTATGTATTACATGTAGTCATATACTTTCAGTTATTCAAAGTAGGATTATTCACTTTGTGGATTACCCAGGTTGCTTATATCCCTTCTTCCTTTTGCACTTGCGTTTTGGTCATTTCTTTGCTTATTAAATATCTCTGAAAGAGAAAAGTCTAGTAGAAGGAGAGAAGGTAGCATTTAAATTAGCTTTGCTTCCTAGTGATGGCAAAGGGTGACAGCCTGATAACTTGTAAAATGTTTATGAAAGGGTTGAAATTGAGAACCAAAGTCAGGTTTCTGGATTTTCTGTTGGCTTCATTTCTCTCTCTCTCTCTGTATGTGTGTGTGTGTGTGTGTGTGTGTGTGTGTGTGTGTGTGTGTGTGT